ATTGAGCTGAGAAGGAAACATGGACACAGAGGATGGAGGGGATATTCCCACCAGTGGTCTTGGGTTGGAAAGCACCTGCTGCACCCCATGGGAATACTGTCCCCATGGCCCAGCACAGAGCCTTTTGTCTGCACTGCTGTGTGCACAGAGATGTGGGTGCACAGGTTCAAGCCCCTGACTACTGCAAAAAGCAAAATAATCTCTTGGGAGTCAGAGAGCACAAGGAGCCCATGCATCCCCTGCCCGYGCCCCGTGCCCACACCTCAGCCCCRCCCCACAGGAGCCACAYGTGCAGGCAAAGTGCCCGTCTGTACCTTTTCTGTGGGAAGAGCGCGCAGCACAGCGGGGTGGCAAACACCAGACTGCAAGGGAGAGACATAGCAAGGTGAAGCTGGGCTGTATAAATCACCCACACCCACCTATGGCCTGATCCCAGAGCAGCAACRAGGCAGGCCAGAGCTATGCTGGCAGCCAGGAAAGAGCTGCAGAGATGCCCTCTCCAAGCTCAAGACCCTGCATGTGGCTCCTGAGCGGGGACAAAAGGATGATGTGGTGGAACAGCAATGCTGAGCAGGAGCCCATGGCAGGCTTGAGAGACACCAAGATGGAGCAAAACAACTTCCAGCCCCAGAACATCACATCCTATCCTGTCTGCCTGGGGTGCCACCAGCCTGGCCAAACTCTGGCATCGCCCCAGGAAACTTTGGGGCCGTTTCCTCCCCTCTTGCAGTGTCCCCAGCAGCACTGTCCCATACACCTGGGCTCAGCCAYGCCCAGGGCAGCAATGCCCATCTGTGGAGGGTGACTTACCAGAGTCCCACCAGGCCAACCTGCAGGGGAGCGTTCAGGAACGGGTACCGCTGCCAGGAACAAGGAGAAGGTGCGTGTCAGTGCAGAGGACAGGGTGGGAAGGTATCTATGCCCCAACAGGGTGCCAGCCCTGAGGGRTGTCAGCAATGTGACAAGCTTGGTGGGGTGTCCCTACACCCACCCTCCCATCCCARGTTCCCTGGTACCTTCAGGAAAGCTCTCTTCTCCAGCATGTTCATGATCACCGGCGGAATAGCTGAGGCAGGGAGGAAGGAGATGAGCTCCAAATGTTCACAGCCCCCTGCCAGCAGTGGGACCCCATCCCACACTGCCAGGGCTCAGCTGCAATCTCCCAGCACAGRTGGAGGAGGGGACACTCACCCATGGCCGGCACTGCCATGCCAATGCGGGACACCACCACCTGGAAAATGGCCTTCTGGGCTGCTGCTGTGGATTCGCCCAGGCGGTTCCCATTCTCATCCGTGACAGGGATCCCCAGCTTGAGCTCTCTGCAGGGAGAGAGGGGGTCAGCAGGTCAGGACACAGGACAGAGACATGTCTCCAAGAGAGGTTAGCATTCTCCTGTACCCCATCCATCGCCTGCACAATAAATCAGAGGGGGTCTCAGCTGGACCCACATTCACACTTGGGAGCAGTCCTCAACAGGGCTGCACGGGGACCAATAAGTCCTGGGATGAAACCAGGTGCTTGTACCCTCAAACCAAGCCCCCCCATTAAGGGCCAGCAAGGAAGTCTCAGCACTCCCCATCAGTGCCTGCGAGCCCATCCCACCCCAGGGGCTCACCTCTGCCTCATCAGCGGGATGTTGATGCAGTTGGCAGCTGCCACGGCCGCAAAAGGCACGTACCGGCCGATGATGGCTGGCAAGTGCTGGGGGGAAAAGCAGGAACACGTCATGCAGAGGGTCTGGGGGCAGAGCTGGCTGTCCCTGAGTCTGCCACCATCTTCCTGCAAGACCCTGGGGGATTCCAGGCCTACTGGGGGAAAAATGTTCCATCCTCCCCTGCAACTCTCAGCTGGTAAAAGCTGCACAGATTGAAGGCTCTGGGAGGGTCACATGTCCCCTGCCAGGCCTGGACAGAGGCTCAGGGGTGACAGAARCCTGGAGATACATCCAGAGCAAGGCTGGAGGGACAGGCCATCTCCACAGCCATTGCCTTGTGTGGGTGACCTCAGCAAACCTCTTTTCTTCATTTTCTCCCCCACTCCAGGTAAATCCCCTGCTCAGCTCAGAGCTTAGGGAAACCCAGTGCAGGGGGGGGGACCAGGTCCCCCAACTGTGACAGCCAAGGGTCACCTTACCTTGGTGAGGGATTTGAGCCCCAGCGCTGTGACAATTGCCCCCGTGGTCGCGCTCACATAGGCTGTGCCCAGCTGGCTGAAAGGGCAGGAAGTGACACCAGTAAGCCAGGCTCCCCCCATCCCAGTTGTCCCTCCAAAGGAGGGGACAGCATACCCTTCAAGAGCRCCAGGACACCTGGCTTCCTCTCCCATCTCTACTACTAACCCTGAGAGCCCCAATGGCATCCATCTCTGCCTCCATCAGCTCCCCATTGTCCMATCTCACAGTTCCCTGCTATTCAAGAAGCTATTCAAGGCACCTTCCTGGTGTTTTGGGGTGCCTGGAGGATCTGGTCAGAGAGATGCTTACCTGGGGGTGATGGGTGCATCCCCGCTGCGGTTGGTGTAGTTGACAATGGCATTAAAGGACTGGTTGACCCACTGCCAGAACAACACAGCCGGTGTGGTCCTAACAGAGAGAGGAGGATGCTGGTGACACTGTGGGATGCCACCCATGCTCCTACAGTATGATCATGAGTGGGGTACAGGACACATGTGCCCTCCTCACCCCAGAGTCAGGAGGATCCTCCAGGCATCCTCTTGGTCCTGGAGTGAGGAGGGGACAGGTACCTGTAGAAGGTCAACATGCAACCGGTGATGGTCATGTTCATGGGGACCTGGGCGGACATGCGTCCCACAAGGATCATCTTCTCGCCCGTGTCAGGGTGGAAAGCCGAGTCATAGATGTACTTTGCCCGCCAAAGCTGGTCCTCTGTCAGCCCAGGGTGCACCCTGCCCGCCCTGCCAGGTAAGGATAACACCTGTTGAAAGACCTTCTGCCAGCACACATGGCCTAACTGTCCCCCACACCATTTGTGACAGCTAGCAGATGCCTTAGGGACCAGCCAGGCAGTTTTGGGGGCTGGCTTTGGCCAGGGGGCCAGCATCGCTTCTATTCCCACTCCTGGGAATGGCCCCAAGGCTGTATCCTGCCCAGGAATAGTGCTGAGGGTACATCCATCCTCCCAAGTGGGTACCTGTAGTCCTCCACCACCCGGCGAGCTTCCTCCAGTGTAGCCCCTGACAGCAGCAGGTTTCGGGGGTCGGTCACCATGAAGAAGTGCTTGGCCCGGCCCTGAAAGGTGCTCTGGTCCCAGCGGGGCTCCCGGATGTTGATGGTGGCAGGCAAGGACGGTGGCATCTTCTGGCAGGGCAGGGGATGAAAGGGTTATGTGGGATGTGGTGCCTGTGTGTCCCCCCACATCCCTGCTCCAGTGCACCCCAGCCTGGAGGGACAAGGGCTAAACAGGAAGGCSCTTTGTCAAGGAGCTCAGCAGCGACTCCTGAGCCCACCCAGCACACGGGCAGTGCGGGGTGCTGTGACCTCACCACTGCACCCTGCAATGTGCCAACGAGAACTCCCCGATCTCACTTACACCAGCCGCCAGAAGGCAGGGACCTCCCATCCAGCAGAGCACCCCTGTCACAAAGGAGGGGACAGGGACCCACCACTTCGGGATCAGAGCTACTGCCAGCACCGGCAGAGCGGAGCGAGGAAGGGCACTGGAAGGAGGAATGTCACCCCCGGCAAGGCACCGACACACCCGCACGGTTCTATTCCCACACCCGCCCTTCCCCGCGAGGAGCGGCGCTCTGCTCCCTCCCTTCCCGCACCGAGCATCCCTCCCGCCACGCGTGACCCCCCTGCACAGGGACCCGGGGCAGCCCCCGCACTCACGGCTCCCGGGGCAGCGCCCGCCGTGCCCGCGCCGCCGCCGCCGCCACCGCCCCGCTCCCGCCCCGCGCGCTCTGACG